AAAACTATGTTGGTGAATTAATTAGGTTACAAAAATCAGAATAAAACCGATGAATCCTAGATGAAAATGTGTGTTACTTTTTCGAATCTGGTACAGGATCGAGGGTATAGTAAAGTAGGGTATTACTTTAGATGGAGGTACCCCTTTTAATGCCCCGCATCTAACAAGGAAACCAGCAAGCTTAACAATTCTCACGTGCCCTCTATAGAATTTGGCCCAGAATAAGGTACACCTTTCTGTAAACAATTGTGAAAACACTTAAAAACATTCGTAGCTGTGCCTCTTAGGAATAGATACGATGTTATTTTCAGACTCTCCTTATGAAACTGTGGCAAGCCAGGTATTTTACAAGTGTATTTGTACGAATAGTTGGCCAGAGGCTTCTAGCGGTATAGAGCTGCAGATGTCGGAGCTCCCATCTGCGAGAGATCTTCCCCACCTCCACAACTCCTTGTTTCATACGTCTATGGGCCAATAAGCAAAAAAAGAGAACACGCTTTTCTCTTTCCAAGCGATGTAAGAGATTTTGAACAGTAGATACACATCATCCCCAACGTATGAATGGATATGTCCCCCGCAAATTGTTTTAACCCTATAACTGTCGACACATTCCTTACGAACAAGAACCGTCAACACTCCACACTTCCCACAGGAGTGGCTCATTTATGAATGAGACTGTCTTTGTGACTTTTGTCCTGAAAATACGTAATAAATTAACAGTTGATAAAAATATTAATATTCCACGAAATCTATTAAGCTGACCCGGCACCTGATCCATATTCTAATCAGATTATAGGATGAGATCACTGGTATGTTGAACATGGTGGGGAATTGAAAATAGATGTATTTTGCAGTTGTTTAGATTCGTGCAAATCACCCCAGTTTTTATTTGGGTCCGAGAGGCCTTCTTTATTCTCGTGGTATCACATTTCGCGGGTCGGGACTTTCTAGTAGTGTGTTCTGTTTCCACGGGCTGGAGGGGACGAAAAGGGCAATTACCGTACTTCAATAGAAGTTTAGTCTCTGTGCTATGTTTTCTTTGTCCCTTGCGCTGGCCGAATAAGACGCGAGTTTTCTCCGACCCCAGAAAACGTGCTTCATCCTCGTCAATCCCTTGAGTTTCTTTGAACCCTAACAATTTAAGTGTAACATCGCAATGGACATTTGCATTTGACAAATTCCTTCGGCCGTCTAATTGAAAAGCCCGAGTCAGGCGCTTTGAGAAGGTTAGCTTACCTCTTTACGGGGCGAAGAGCTGTACATGGATCAGGATCGTCAGTAAATAACTTTATTAAATTTTAGTTTAATTTAAAACCTTGCAGTATTTCAAGTGCCTTTCTTTTTATAGGTAGTTTTTGAGCTTGTTGCGAGGAACAGTCCATCTCTTTGTAGTGGAGTCCAATGTCATTAGAAGTGTCAGGTATTTGGACAAAGTCACCAAAAATAAGCAAATAAACAGGGTTTGCAGGTTCCCTGGGTATCGAATGAGGTCCTTCAACGTAACCCCTTGTCATTTTTCGCACTTAGCAAGCCCCCAATTACCCACTGTTAGTCACAGCCGACGCACTATCCGGAGGATCAGAAGAGTCTTTGTAATACGGGCCCAGGGAGAAGACAACCTTGCAGTTACCCCTACGCCAAGGCGAAGCGTGGGATGTTTACGACCACGTGCCCAGATCCCTAACAAAAGCTGAACTGAGTGATTGATTCATCATCCAGCGTGGCAGCATTCTAACAGCCTGTAGGGGTCAGCTTTAGGGGTCTGCATTGTCCTCTGCAACAGGGCCGTACACGAGAGGACAATGCGGGTTTGTGTCGACCTATTGTCCTACCCCTCCCGTGTGTCTTCTACATAAAAAATGTCCTTTAACCCTATGGCCTTATGACAGCCCTACCCTATTAGCATCGTCCGTGGTTTAGGGTATCTTAGACGTTTCAGGGTTAAGTAATATGCACATATCCATTAAGCAGGCCCTTCTTATGGTGTTATACCAGTGTCACGTTTAACGTATATGACAGGGCTTGATCCGGATAGGGCTTGCCCTTAAAGGGTTAACAATACCATCTGACAATGTGACATCACGTGTACATAATACTATTGTTAAATTCACCCTAACATGCAACAGACCTTTTAAAACCCCTTATATTGTGTTCACCGAGCTTCCTTTTCAGGGATCTCTGACCTCCGTGACCTCCTTTCCGTCCGAAAAAGCGACAACCAGAGACTGGTTCATTGAGAATCGAGCAGGCCAACCAACTCATTAACTCCCTCATTGATGACGTCATTGTTGTGTGGCATGACATGCTATCACCCTTTTGCCACCCTCGAAGTTTAACCGATAAGATAGAAAACGACCTTAGCCAGCAAACTCAGTGGGGTTGTGGCAGCAGAAAGTTCCTGACCTGTTTCGTAGTGCGTTGGCCGGGGTTCAAACATACTATACTTTAATAGACTCTCAAACAAACGGTGTGTGCGTCCTTATCGGTCGGTATTGTGATAAAGTTGAACCAACACTTTCAAACATGCATAAATTTTCATTCAATGTCTGCCTTGTCAAGCAGTGTGGGGTCAAAATTTGACTAACGTACGAACAATATGTTCGACTCGATTGCATCGTATATCACAGTTATTTCTCGCGAAAAAGACGATATCATTGTTCCCTTGTCATATATATTTCGCATCAATTGAAAGATTTCCAGTTAAATTACCTCTTAATCCCTGTAACCTCGTGTAATTGCACTTGTCCTTCCTTTCCCACTGGTGTTATCTAAACTGTGTCCGTAACAAATATATGATGGTTCCTTGACGTCGGATGGCATAGTCTATTTCAACGATGTGTGCCGAATTACGATTTAAACATCGTCAAGCCAACAGTAATACCTTGCATCACAAATACAACCTAACATAAGTAACTTGTCATGCTACGACACAAGAGGACCTTCCCTTCTCATTATGGTGGCTTGAACATGCATGGCATACGGAGAGATGATGTTTTGTCATCGTTAATATGCATAGAATGTTTCTCGTTCCGTGCATGGAATATCAGAGACAGCATGCATGACATACGACCTCTTACCATGCCTTACCTTCTGGAATGATAATCAGTAACGACAAATTAGGAACATTCTGCGGGACATTGCTCCACGACGCTCCTATCTTTAAGATTCCTGGCATTCCTTATCAAATAAATGGTACTTTTGCCCTCGTCATTTTTTTACGAGGGAATTTAGGATAATACACACAGTTTTATGGGCAGGGTTCGTGATCTGCTGTATGTGAATGACACAACAGGTACATCAAACAGCAAGAACTACCCCGCTGATCGACTCGAATTTAAACTTAATCCCTCGTCACCACGTGTCACACAATCTGTTTCAGCTGTGATAACACGTATTAATTATGTCAAATCGCTTGTACATTCTTGAGTTTCTTACAGTCGCTTCATATGAATATTGTTTTTTCATGTGGCAAAAAAGTGACACCAGTCGACAAAATGCATTTTCCACTGAGTTATTGCCCACTCACGAGTGTTTATGTCGAGAAGAAATATCGTTACCCGGAGCTAATTCCTTGTCTGGGGAAAACCTATGACCTTTGCCGCTTTTCTTTGACGTATTTCTTATGAAGGATTATTATCACTCTGAATCTTGTCTGGCTAATATTCAAGATCCCAATTATCGTTTGTAGGGACACCCATATAAAGTGTCCCATATAGATTTCTTACAATGTAAATCTAAACAATCCAAGCATATTTCTTTTACAAACTTAATTTGCCTGTTTAGTTCGAACATGCATGGTTTATATGATAACGTGAACCTGATGCGGATAACGTAAGCAAAACGGTCTGGAATCTTGAAGTTTCTACCGATAAAGCATAACATTTACCATTTGTTCTTGTAGTGGTATCAAGTTTATTATTTCAAGCAGCGATTACCATTCCGTCGTTTGTTTAGCAACTGTAGATAACGTCAACTTTACGTGTTTTGATAGCGCAAACATTGATGGTGAATTTTATAGTTAGGTCAAAGCATAAACCCTGCCTTCCATATCTAAACTAGAGACAGAAACCTTTTTGCTTTCCCGAAGTCAACCGTTTTATCAATAATTTCCACTTTCCACATTTTTACTTACAGTGAAAGTCTTAAATCTTATTTTTTTACTTCACCTTCAGATGCCATAGCGTATAAAAAAGTCAAATAAGACCTATTAGGGCAAGTCCTGCTATCAATCATCAGTTGTAGGACATCTCGTTCCAGCTTGAGACATCTCGATCCAATTTTTTTACTCTTCCGTTATGATCGAGCGTGTCGAAAAGATACACTACTTTTCCCCCCGAAACGCTACAATCCGTATAAAGTAAACCAACAGCTGTTTGAATGTGTCATATTTGCTTTGATTGTGTTCTCAGTAACGCAAAAGAAACAAATAATTGAAGGCGTTATCTCTGTATATACATTAAGCGGAGATAAAGTTGAATTAAACGACTCCATTCTTAGATACGTTTCCTCGTATCTTGACGGGATCACTGAGGGTTTTCGCACAGAGAGTCCCGATTCACTGACAATGCCCAGATCCTGTCACTGACAAGACTGAGAATGAAAGGGTGGGGGAACCTCTATTATTGCATCCGAGTTGAAACAGGAAAGGTTTAGGATAGAATTCAGGAAATAGTCCTGAGTATTCACGAAATATAACCCCAGGCATGTATTATATGAACACGTGGTCATAGATTGTCTCCCCGCGATGTGAGATGCCAAACAGATGAATAATCGATGTTTGGTTAGATATTCTTTAAAAGTATGATTTATTATTTTTATCCGTTCCTATGACTTTAAGTCTGTTCATATTTGCAAAAACAAAGTAAATGTATGTATAGATATATCCATACATATACATGCCTAGTCCTACTTTGTTTAATAAAATGATAAACCTTTCCATTCAGCGCCTGTCATAATGTTTATGATGCGTCTTATATACTGATGACCCTTCTGTCTTTCAGCGACGTACACATAAAAAGTACGGCAAAATCTTCAAAGAGCCATTCGGCCCGGTCACCAACCTATCTGTGGCAGACCCCTCCCTTGTTGAGGAGATCCTTCGGTCGGAGGGGAAGTACCCCTTCCGACCCCCCTACCAATCATGGCAGTTGTACAATGAGATGAGAAACAAGAAGGGCGGCATCATGACTGCGTATGTATTCACGTACTTGTCCCATAAATCAAGCTGTAAATGGCTGTGCGTGTCTTGAGAGTCGCTGTATGTTGCTACCTGTTAAGGAGTCACCGTTCAACAAGGGTCGTGGTTGGTTAAGGGTTAATTGTTTTAGTGCACTTAATGGAATGAATATTCAGAGAGCTGATAATCGCCTTTGCTCATAGAAATTAGTTTAATATAGAAAAATAAATAGAAGACAATATGAATTATCAATTATTAAATGTCAATTGCTTATTGAAATAATATCTTTGATTTAAGCGTATTGTTCCATTGAGAATGTTATTTGATATAGCATTTTAAAAATTATTTTTTTAAACATATACGAAGCTTTCACGTCATGGATTCATGTTCTGAAGCGGGCAGCTCTCCACATAAGTACATATTCATATAAGCTGGGATTTATGCTGAAGTATATTACATTTGAAGCGATCACCCTAAATAAACATACATCAAAACGACTAGGTTAATGTATTCCAATAAAAGCTTATGGTCAGTGTTCAATTAGAATTCCTGGGGCCATTTATCTAAGGATATATTTCAATTAAGCACTTGGTTGCAACGAAATAGGTGTTCTTGATTATGCTTATTACAGAATGGAAGACCGCATAGTTAATTTCTTTATACAATGTACATCAATATATTATATTTGTGCGAAAAAATAGTATTGTGAATCCTGGGGGTGAAAATTAATGGCCTACATCTCTCCTCCAGGCAAGGCGAACAGTGGAAACGTTGTCGGAGCGCAATGAACCCCAAACTGCTGAGACCCAAGTCTGTTGGCGAATACGTCAACGGTATCAATGATGTTGTGGCATCGTTCATGGAGAGGTTAAGATACCTCAAGGATGTGCAGGGAGACGGGCAGTTTGTACCTCACTTACCAAACGAGCTCAATAAATTCACAATGGAAAGTAAGTATATGCCACTAGCCACGCCTCTTTTCTTGTATGTCTTGAATCTTTTCATCCGCGTGAATTAAATAAACTTTAAAACTGATTTTGTAAGACGTTTTTTCGATATTATTAATTAAAAAAAATATTGATGATATTAATGATCAAGATAACAAGAAGCCATTGTTTGTTATGAACTGAGTGATGAATGTTAAACATTTTATTCTGATAAGGTTAGTATTTATTAAAATGGTTCCCATACTTTTACACACGTTTTCAGACACAAACACGTGTATCAATTATCATGGAAAGACTGATACGTTGTGACATTATATACATGGCTGCCAAACAAGCAATAGTTTGAAATGAAAAGTACAGGCAGTTATAGTCGAGGTCGCGTCACATTCTCATGGTGTGAACGGCTATATAGACGAAGTAAGGTGGCTATACGTTTCACATTAGCAGGGACATAAATCAGCCGTGAGATGTGTCTAAACCTGTATAGGTAAATCAATGTCTCTCGTTGATATATTCGGCAGAGGAAGAAAACTATACTTGTGAAACGGTCTTTAGAGAGCTTATTGGTTATTAAAGGATTAGCGAGGTGTCGAGGAAATTATGATAAATACCCATATCATAGGATCGTTAATTGTTGCGGAAAGGGAGGGGGAATTTACTACTGTTTTAAAGTGACACAAGTTTGGTTACACTAATCCCTTAATTAGATATGAAAGGTCATAACCTCTTTCCATGACCTTTCGACGTCCCTTCAAGTGTCATGCGTGCCTCCCAATTGTGTCAATAATCCGACATCTGTGTGTGATAGGTGATAAGTTCAAGCAGGAAAATAGGTCCAGGTTCGAATCCGCCGATTGTGTAAATATGTTTGGGAAATGCAAACTATGCGACGGTTGTTTGTAAGGCTACGGATAATGTTGAAACTACAGAGTTGAACAATGATGCAGATAGCACTGATATTCTTGCACTCGTTTAGGGCTGAATCACGCCGTGATAAAACTGGAATAATGTTCAAAGCGGCGTTAAATCTTGCGGCGTCGAAAGAGGCGACCAACGGGATCGGGTGATCAGGTTCGCTGACTTGGTTGATGCATCCCAGTTTCGTAGATCGATGCTCACGATGTCAATCACAGGATTGTCTGGATCAGACTCGATTATTATCACCGCCGTCATATAGCTGGAATACTGCTGAGTGCGGCGTTAAACAACAAACAAACCACACACGAACCGTTCAGAGATATATCTAACACTTGCATGTGCGATGCCGATGAGTCATGAGAGTGATCTCCCTTAGTAACGTGGTCCTCTTTGTTTCAGCGTTAACGTGGGTGATACTGGAGACAAGACTGGGGTGTCTGGAGAAGGATGTTTCCCCCCGGATACAGGACTTCATCAGGTCCGTGGCAACCATGTTCCTCACAGGGCACAAACTGGTTGCCTTCGCCAATGTTCACAAACTGCTCAGGACGAAAGCTTGGAGGGATCACGTGCAAGCGTGGGATACAATCTATGATATCGGTACGTATGTTTGGTTGTTTGTTGTTTACCGCCGCATTCAGCAATATTCCAGCTGTATGACGGCGGTCTGGAAATAATCGAGTCTGGACCAGACAATCCAGTGATTGACATCAGTATCGATCCACGCAATTGGATACGATGACATGCATCAACCAAGTCAGCGACCCTGACCACCTGATTCCGTTTGTCGCCTCTTACCACAAGGATAGTCCCCTTTTACGGCAAGCATGGGTTGGTGAAGACCTATTCTAGCCGGGACCATCACGGGTCGAAATGGGTATCTCTACATCTGTATACACCATGACAGATGTGCCTTAGCAGAACACGTTATGGGTGATGCGGGTGGATTGGTTAAAGACTGATCAATCTGAGTGAGCGAGCGAGCATGTTTTATGCCGCTATTACCAATTTACATACATGGCTGAGGACACCAAAATAAGATTCACAATTGACCCATGTCGGATGCGAACACGGCGCTTCAACGTGACGAGCGAACGTTTTACCCACATGTCCATCCACCATCCTGATTTTTGGTCTGAAGACCTAAATCTAAACGTAACCGTTTCACAATACTAATACCTGCATTGCATTTGAAATGCTTGCTGATCGTCATGATTAGTAGCGGCCTTAACATTTCGGAGTCCCGTTCTGGATTCGAACCACGGACCATCTGATCCGAGGTCGGACGTCTTGTCCACGTGACCAAAGGTTAACCCCGTCAGCAAGTTGTCAAGGTAAGGATGTCATCTGTGTGATGACTCCACGCCCTGCTACAAATACATATATATTTCACACTCAGACTGAAATGAACGTACATGCAACGCTATAGGGATGGTCACAGGCACAAATAACCTTGACCGCTTTTACATTGCAGCGACGGAGCACATAGACAAGAAGCTGCTAGAGGTGGAGAGTCGCCTGGCGGTCAGCGAGCCTCAGGAAGGGGAGAGAGTGGACTTCCTCACCTACCTCGTCTCGGGGAAGAACATGACTAAAGAAGAAATCAACAACAACATTGCAGAGATCCTGCTAGGGGGTGTCGATACGGTAAGTGGCCATTGACGGATACTGTCTTCATTTCCATAGAATACCAGGATAAGATCTTGCGGATTTCGGAGTCACGGACCTTAAACGTTTAAAGTACCAAGAAAGGCAAATAGCAACTTATTTAATAGACCACATACTTTTTAGTTCGATTTTGGCACCATGTGTATTAACCAGAGCAGACAAATCTCACATGAGTTTTCTCTCTATTAATTTTGTTCCCCTTATTAATAGAAATTCTGTAATTGACAAATTCTGTCTCAATATGAAACGTCAATGACAGAGAATGACCAGTCTCGATTATCCGATAGTTAGGTTCCCTTTGGTGTAAAAGGCAAAATAGCGGTGAAAATTATACGAATGAATTACAGTAAACTACGGTTATAACGAACACGCTTATAACGAACTGACCGATATAACGAACTTATTTTTAGTCCCGGTCATTTGTTGTTTATATGCTGTATATATGCCTATAACGAACTACGGTTATAACGAACTGAAATAAGTGGTCCCTTTGAGTTCGTTATAACCGTAGTTTACTGTACTAAACATCCGTGATGACACCGGGTGTTCGTGAACACGGTGAAGGTAGCAATTGACAACCTTGAACGATCGCTTTATTAATCAAACATCCTTTCTTTCAGGCGGCCAACTCTCTGTCGTTCTTGGTGTATGCTCTGGCCAAGAATTCACATGTGCAGGACAAACTTCGAGACGAGGTGGATCGTGTAGTGGACAAGAGAACGGCCAACTATGAAGACCTGCAGAATATGCCCTACTTGAAGGCTGTCATCAAAGAGACACTTCGTCTCTACCCACCAATTCCCATCAACGCTCGCGTCACACAGGAAGAGATCGTTGTGGACAATTACCTCATACCCAAGGGGGTACGTGTCATCACTTAATGTGTATACGTCATTAGTTTATGTGCAATCGAAATCGGTGTTACCGTTTCGTATTTTAATTGTACCGAACTTTGTTCCGAAGTTTCCTTTTCTTTTAACTGTATGGTTTATCTGCATCCTAATGAATACTCGACGAGTTTTGTTATCCGCTCATGACTATTTACAAGAAGCGCCGACATCTGAATCACCCCTGTTTAACCCAATATCGGTTTCAACAGCCCGGTCAGTCACACTTCCCCTGTCAATATCAAAATTAGGTGACCCACATTCTGGCATCAGCAGCAGACATTTCATCCTTGACCTTTTGGCACTCCGGTTACTACAAATCACGGCGCATTTACGCTGCTTCTGTCACGATCGATCCCACGCAGGCTCAACGTCATAACAAATTGCTCATTCCTAAGCTCAAACACGACTTACTGTGTACCCTGGGTCATACTGGCTAATTACTTCTGCCTGCTCCTGTAGGCTTGATTGATCAGACAAACACCAGTGATTCCTTCAGCTGTGCAAGCAACCATATACATATGCATGTACTTCCAGGAACCATTCCAGGAACCATTAACAAAACAGTCATTCCAGACAATAAACAACAAAAAACGTTAATATCTATTTTGTCGATCTAATTTCATGCTAATCGGTGTTTTTTCCTATTATCCAGACTTGCATTCTCCTAAACAACTACACTATGTCGAGAGATGAGAAGATCTTCTCCAATCCTGACAAGTTTGTGCCAGAGAGATGGCTGAGAGATGAAGCAAAGGATTGGCATCCGTTTTCAGCCATCCCATTCGGATACGGAGCGAGAAGCTGTGTCGGTAAGTAGAGATCGGTAGTCGTCGACATTGTTTAAATAAATGGTATTTATCACTGAGAATTGCGTAGTGTGACTTAAGTGGGTACATATCACTTTTGATGCTACTGTGTTGGTGTACGTTCATAATAGCATGTTATTGACCGATATGTACTTATGCTTAGCACTGGTGTTATTCCACATGTCGTAATATGTAAAAGCGACAAAATCCAGTCCATTTTCATAAGAAATATCTGCCAAAAGCAAAGTCATCTGTACGACTCTGACTGTATCATGACCATGTGTTTTTGAATCACTATCACGAAGAAAAATTAACTGAATAAAAAACATATATGATTAATGAATATTTGATATATATATATATATATTTCACAACGATATATATGATTTCAGGACGACGAATTGCCGAAACAGAGATGTACCTCGCCACAATTCAGGTAGTTATTACTTACACTTGTAAACATCGCATAAATGCACTTAAAACCTGTTGTTGAACGCTTGCAGTTTTTAATTATTCCACACACAAACGTTTGTCGGCGATGGTTTTCGCTTGACCTATTTCCATTCAGAAGTGAATGAGGTGTAGCTCATCCACAGGTAGTGTAGAGCGGACGTTAATAAACACTGTTCCCCTCGAAGCATAACCCTGGTATAATGAGTCATTTTATCATGTCGTTTAGCAGCAATATTTATGACAACCAAACCACATTGCACCCCGTCGCCCCATTTCGCGTGTGCAGATTTCGTAATCTGGGCAAGTTTAACTGGCATAGTGAGGGCCTTTCCCCTTAGCTGACACGGCTTGCAACCACTGACAAGTGTGATGTTTATATTTATGGTCGTATTGTTACTTGTTGCAGCTTTGCCAGAACTTCTGTCTCCAACTAAGTGACAAGTTTGACATCACCCCTTCGGTTCGAACACAGCTGACACCCGGGCCTGAACTTCCGGTGCTTTTCAACGAGCGGTAAAAAAGTGGGAACGGAATTCCTGAAACGAACCAACTATAGTGTACAGCGGCTCAAGGCAATCAGTGTAGCAGTGTGATCATGATAAAACGTGCCATAGATCGCTTACAGACAAATAGCCGTGCCATGCAGCGGGACGGCATCGACTTTCAACCTGCATGACCAAATAAGGAGCAGAGGATGGATTTTTCTCAGGGTGATGAATCGATGAATTATCAATTACCTCACTGGAGATGTTACGCTGATGTAACCAAGCTATGACGTCATATTTCTTGCACGTGCATCGTGAGGTGATTGTGACGTGTCGAGCGTTCATTGGGCGCTCTGTTCTGCCTCTCGCTCCTGCAAAAGACCCTACAGGCGTAACAGCCTTGAGCGTTTGTATCGTCATAAGATGACATGCATCTTGCAAAACACTTTCAATGACTGCACCGTGACGGCAGAATGTTTAGCCAAAGACGTTGTCGATTGTGAACGGGTAACGGGTACGGAATGAGCCGTGTTTTAATGCACTGGCTTGAAATTTATTATAATGCAACACCAAGAACTGTTTCACTTCTTTCACAACTTTTCAATCGTTGGATGTGATCACGACTGTTCATGACCTCTTTGCATCCTTGTGCTTATTCTACCTCTTCATCAACAAACATTGTGTATTACGTCATCAAAAACTGTGTACACACCGCCATGTTGAACAAAGCTGTATATTTGACTTCACGTGAAAATGTCGCATCATTCAAGGAATACCAACTATGGAGCACCTTGGGATTTCAAACTGTGTTCTATGTAACTGTGGCAGTGATATGCATGCCTTGCGTGTCATTTGTTGCCATGGCGACCAACTGAGAGACAATGTACAGTTGACATGTAATTCTGGTGTCAATATTTATAAAATACGTGACTTTAACACGCTTTGCAGTTCACAGTTTGCACAACGAGGATTCTCACTTTTCGAGTCCTGATACTAAGTAGGCCTGTGGTGTTAGTTTCGTATTTCAATCGGAAGCGGGATCAGTCAAATATTCGAAGCCATGGTTACGTATTTATAAACAGGGATGTTTGACCTGCTTTGGCTTGAAATACGAGACATAATACCATGTCACTTCGAGAAGCAGCAATCGTGATTGTTAGTTGTGTACATATAAACCCAACGCTCAGTAGCTATTTGTTGTTGATAAAACGCAGTGACAGTATTACTATCGACTTGTGTGTGTACCTCCTCATTGTACATATGACTTTATTTTATTCAATATTTAATTATTAAACCTTGAAGTATTGACAGTCCGTGGTTGAGTTATGTTTCGTGGATTCACTGTGTTTGACTTGTGGATTGGTATATGTCTCAGAAGAAGTATTCTGAAGTGGCAATGATAATGTGAACAATTGACTTGCCTTTGCATGTGTTTGTGACGGGTGCCACCGGTGGGGCAGGATATGCTAATCTTTGCGCGAACGCCTGGTATCATCACTATTTCATAATGATTCATAAACACATGCTCATGATATAGAATCATATGAATCATACACCCGACTCTGCTTTTACCAGAAAATGTTTTTAATAAAAAGAAGGGTTTTTTCGCTTGTATTCACGTATATCTTCCACTGTCACAAGGCGAGCAGAGGCATTGGTTATTCGCGATCAAGCAGGTGCGTTACCTTTATATTCAATTGAAACTTTCTGATAAAAAAATCATTACCTCTCTTTTGAAGAAATGAAGTGAATATATATACCCAGATAACACCAATGATATTCTGGACGCGTTCTTCACCTGTTTAAACTCGTGCTGATTTTAGACATTAAAAAGAATGTTTCACATATTAATAAAAAGCGGTCAATGTATAGCGCAGGTCATAAAATGTTATATGAAGCCGCAATACCAAATGAAATATAGCTCCACCCTACGCAATAGTTTGGGTCCTTATTAACACAATAACTGACACCATGGTTAATATAAAACGTTTGTTTAGCTGGAGTCTGTCTGTCCCTTTCATAAATATCAAGGATGCACCAGGATGCATTTCTTTCCCATAATTAATAAATACCTCTCTGTGGCTTGTATGTTTAGTGCAAATACAATTACAGTAACACTAGCCGGGGCTTCTGTTCGTCACAACGAGGCCCTAGACAGGCTTTCGAGTGGTTGAAATACACTGATATCTCCTTAATGCTATATTGACCAAGTTTTCATAGTCAGGCATCAGAAACTGTGTCAATATCGTGTACGTTGCATCATCAGCCCCCTTCCTTTGAGAATCAATATGTTCCGTCAATGAAATAGATGTGATTGATCTGTCAGTGGTTGTGGTGTTTGTTTTACACATTACAGCGCACAGTGTTAATCCCGGGTCGTTAGCGTGCTCCATCCGACACTCAATAGAGAGGGTAGACGTTGTCAGGCAGTCGCGCAGTACGTCTTAAACGGCCATTCTCACATCGCGTCATGCGAGTTCAGATACAAGAAAATGCTCTGAACTCACATCTCGTCATGCGAGTTCAGACACGAGAAAACACTCTGAACTCACATCGCGTCATGCGAGTTCAGACACGAGAAAACACTCTGAACTCATATCGCGTCATGCGAGTTCAGATACAAGAAAATGCTCTGAACTCACATCGCGTCAGGCGAGTTCAGATACAAGAAAACACTCTGAACTCACATCACGTCATACGAGTTCAGATGCAAGAAAACACTCCGAACTCACATCGCGTCATACGAGTTCAGATACAAGAAAACGCTCTGAACTCACATCGCGTCATACAAGTTCAGACACAAGAAAACACTCTTAACTCACACCGTGTCATACGAGTTCATATACAAGAAAACACTCCGAACTCACATCGCGTCATACAAGTTCAGACACAAGAAAACGCTCTGAACTCACATCGCGTCATACGTGTTCAGCTATAAGAAAACACTCTTAACTCGCACCGTGTTATACGAGTTCAGATACAAGAAAACACTCTGAACTCACATCTCGTTATGCGAGTTCAGATACAAGAAAACACTCTGAACTCACATCGCGTCATACGAGTTCAGATACAAGAAAACGCTCTGAACTCAAATCGCGTCATACAAGTTCAGATACAAGAAAACACTCCGAACTCACATCTCTTCATACGAGTTCAGATACAAGAAAACACTCTTAACTCACATCGCGTCATACGAGTTCAGATACAAGAAAACGCTCTGAACTCAAATCGCGTCATACAAGTTCAGATACAAGAAAACACTCCGAACTCACATCTCGTCATACGAGTTCAGATACAAGAAAACACTCTTAACTCACACCGTGTCATACGAGTTCAGATACAAGAAAACACTCCGAACTCACATCTCGTCATGCGAGTTCAGATACAAGAAAACACTTCGAACTCACATCCCTTCATACATGTTCAGATACAAGAAAACACTCCGAACTCACATCTCATCATGCGAGTTCATATACAAGAAAACACTTCGAACTCACATCCCTTCATACATGTTCAGATACAAGAAAACACTCCCAACTCACATTGCGTCATACGAGTTCAGATACAAGAAAACACTCTTAACTCACATTGCGTCATGCGAGTTCATATACAAGAAAACACTCTCAACTCACATCACGTCATACGAGTTCAGATACAAGAAAACACTCCGAACTCACATCTCGTCATGCGAGTTCAGATACAAGAAAACACTTCGAACTCACATCTCATCATGCGAGTTCATATACAAGAAAACACTTCGAACTCACATCCCTTCATACATGTTCAGATACAAGAAAACACTCCGAACTCACATCTCATCATGCGAGTTCATATACAAGAAAACACTTCGAACTCACATCCCTTCATACATGTTCAGATACAAGAAAACACTCCCAACTCACATCACGTCATACGAGTTCAGATACAAGAAAACACTCCCAACTCACATCTCGTCATACGAGTTCAGATACAAGAAAACACTCCAAACTCACATCACGTCATACGAGTTCATATACAAGAAAACACTCTGAACTCACATTGCGTCATACGAGTTCAGATACAAGAAAACACTCTGAACTCACATCTCGTCATACGAGTTCAGATACAAGAAAACACTCTGAACTCACATTGCGTCATACGAGTTCAGATACAAGAAAACACTCTGAACTCACATCTCGTCATGCGAGTTCAGATACAAGAAAACACTCTGAACTCACATCTCGTCATGCGATTTCAGACACAAGACAACACTCTGAACTCACATCGCGTCATGCGAGTTCAGATACAAGAAAACACTCCCAACTCACATCACGTCATACGAGTTCAGATACAAGAAAACACTCCCAACTCACATCACGTCATACGAGTTCATATACAAGAAAACACTTCGAACTCACATCTCATCATGCGAGTTCATATACAAGAAAACACTTCGAACTCACATCCCTTCATACATGTTCAGATACAAGAAAACACTCCCAACTCACATCACGTCATACGAGTTCAGATACAAGAAAACACTCCCAACTCACATCACGTCATACGAGTTCAGATACAAGAAAACACTCTGAACTCACATCTCGTCATACGATTTCAGATACAAGAAAACACTCTGAACTCACATTGCGTCATACGAGTTCAGATACAAGAAAACACTCTGAACTCACATCTCGTCATACGAGTTCAGATACAAGAAAACACTCTGAACTCACATTGCGTCATACGAGTTCAGATACAAGAAAACACTCTGAACTCACATCTCGTCATACGATTTCAGATACAAGAAAACACTCTGAACTCACATTGCGTCATACGAGTTCAGATACAAGAAAACACTCTGAACTCACATCGCGTCATGCGAGTTCAGATATAAGAAAACACTCTGAACTCACATCGCGTCATGCGTGTTCAGATGCAAGAAAACACTCTGAACTCACATCGCGTCATGCGTGTTCAGACACGAGAAAACACTCTGAACTCACATCGCGTCATGCGAGTTCAGATACAAGAAAACACTCTGAACTCACATCTCGTCATGCGATTTCAGACACAAGACAACACTCTGAACTCACATCACGTCATGCGTGTTCAGATACCAGAAAACGCTATGAACTCATATCTCGTCATGCGCCTTCAGACACAAAAAGCACTCTCAAATCACTCACATTGTGTCATGCGTGTTCAGATACCAGAAAACGCTATGAAATCACATCTCGTCATGCGTGTTCAGACACAAGAAGCACTCTGAACCGACCTCGCGTCATGCGTGTGCAGATACAAGATAAACACACTCAAATCACTCACATTGCGTCATGCGTGTTCAGATATCAGAAAAGGCTATGAACTCACATCGTGTCCTGCGTGTTCAGACACAAGAGCGTTCGCTCGCCATGCCGAAGAACCGGGTTCGATTCCTCACATGGGTACAATGTGTGAAGCCCATTTCTGGAATATTGCTAAATGCGGCGTAAACCCATACTTACTCACCCACTCACTCACTAAATACAACTCCATATCGCGCTCTACACACAAAACACACAACCACATTTCTACCGCCTCCGTGGTGTAGAATATAGAGCGCCTGTCAGAGAGAGGAAGGTCGTGGGTTCGATTCCCGGCCGCGTCATACCAAAAGACGTTAGAAGACGCACCAGGCACCGTCAGAAGACGCTGCACCGCAGAGAATAAATCGTTGTATATCAGCAAACAGCACACCGGACACCGCAACGCAACGCACACCACACACCGGACGCCACACCGCTGAGTATCAATCGTCGTATATCCAGTAATATCCAACGTCACTCACCGCGCACTGGACACCGCACTGGACACCGCACATCGCATACCGGACACCGGACACCGCACAAAGCACCGCACCGCACAAAGCACCGCACAAAGCACCGAACCGTACCGCACCACACCGCACCGCACAAAGCACAAAGCACAAAGCACAACGGATACCGGACACCGGACACCGCACAAAGCACCGCACAAAGCACAACGGACACCGCACCGCACCGCACCGCACCGCACCGCACCGCACCGCACCGCACCGCACCGCGCCGCACCGCAACGCAACGCAACGCACCGCAACGCACCGCAACGCACCGCAACGCACAAAGCACAACGGACACCGGGCAGCGGACACCGCACCGCACCGCAGCGCACCGCAGCGCACCGCACCGCACACCGGACCCTGCACACCATACACCGACAACAAGTATCGGAAGTTAAATCTATTTCTTCGGGTGTATCCCGCTGGTGATACTGTATCTCACTTATCCCGCTTCGTACAAAGCTGCTTGGAGGT